TCAGTTGTTACTTCTCCTTTTTTATTTCTAATTTTGTTGATTTGAGTCTTCTCCCTTTTTTTCTTGATGAGTCTGCCTAATGATTTATCAATTTTGTTTATCTCTCAAAGAACCAGCTTTTAGTTTTATTGATCTTTGCTGGCATTTCTTTTCATTTATTTCTGATCTGATCATAAAGATTTCTTTCCTTCTGCTAATTTTGTTCTTTTTCTCTAATTGTTATAGGTGTAAGGTTATGGGGTTTTTTGTTTTGTTTTTTTTCATGGTACGCAGGCCTCTCACTGTTGTGGCCTCTCCCATTGTGGAGCACAGGCTCCGGACATGCAGGCTCAGCGGCCATGTCTCACGGGCCCAGCCGCTCCACAGCATGTGGGATCTTCCCAGACCGTGGCATGAACCCATGTTCCCTGCATCGGCAGGCAGACTCTCAACCATTGCACCACCAGGGAAGTCCAAGTTTATGTTTTTTATTAGAGATGTTTCTTGTTTCTTGTAGTAGGATTGTATAGCTATAAACTTACCTCTTAGAACTGCTTTTGCTGCATCCCATAGGTTTTGGGTTGTCGTGTTTTCATTGTCATTTGTTTCTAATTATTTTTTTGATTTCCTCTTTGATTTCTTCAGTGATCTCTTGGTTATTTAGTAGTGCATTTTTATCTTCCTTGTGTCTGTATTTTTTACAGGTTATTTTCTGTAATTGGCATCTAGTCTCATAGCGTTATGTTTGGAAAAGATACTTGATACGATTTTAAATTTCTTAAATTTACCAAGGCTTGATTTCTGACCCAAGATATGATCTTTCCTGGAGAATGCTCCATGAGCACTTGAGAAGAAAGTGTATTCTGTTGTTTTTGGATGGAATGTCCTATAAATATTAATTAAGTCCGTCTTGTTTAATGTATCATTTAAAGCTTGTGTTTCCTTATTTATTTTCAGTTTGGATGATCTGTCCATTGGTGAAAGTGGGGTGTTAAAGTCCCATAAGATGATTGTGTTACTGTCAATTTCCCCTTTTATGGCTGTTAGCATTTGCCTTATGTATTAATGTGCACCCATGTTGGGTGCATAAATATTTACAATTGTTATCTCTTCTTCTTGGATTGATCCCTTGATCATTATGTAATGTCCTTCTTTGTCTCTTGTAATAGTCTTTATTTTAAAGTCTATTTTGACTGATAAGAGACGTGCTATTCCAGCTTTGTTTTGATTTCCATTTGCATGGAATATCTTTTTCCATCTCCTCATTTTCAGTCTGTATGTGTCCCTAGATCTGAAATGGGTTTCTTGTAGACAACATACATATGGGTCTTGTTTTTGTATCCATTCAACCAGTCTATGTCTTTCAGTTGGAGCATTTAATCCATTTACATTTAAGGTAGTTATCGATATGTATGTTCCTGTTACAATTTTCTTAAGTGCTTTGGGTTTGTTATTGTCAGTCTTTTCCTTCTCTTGTGTTTCCTGCCTTGAGAAGTCCCTCTAGCATTTGTTGTAAAGCTGGTTTTGTGGTGCTGAATTCTCTTTGCTTTTGCTTGTCTGTAAAGGTTTTAATTTCTCCATCGAATCTGAATGAGATCCTTTCTAGGTAGAGTAATCTTTGTTGTTAGTTTTTCCCTTTTATCACTTTAAATATGTGTTGCCACTCCTTTCTTGCTTGCAAAGTTTCTACTGAAAGATCAGCTGTTTACCTTATGCAGATTCTCTTGTGTGTTATTTGTTGTTTTTCCCTTGCTGTTTTAATATTTTTTCTTTGTATTTAATTTTTGTTAGTTTGATTAATACATGTGTTAACATGCTTCTCCTTGGATTTATCCTGTGTGGGACTCTCTGCGCTTCCTGGACTTGATTGACTATTTCCTTTCCCATATTAGGGAAATTTTCAACTATAATCTCTTTAAATATCTTGTCAGTCCCTTAGTTTCTCTCTTCTTCTTCTGGGAGCCCTATAATTTGAATGTTGTTGCATTTAATATTGTTCCAGAGTTCTGTGAGACTGTCCTCACATCTTTTCTTTTTTCTTTATTCTGTTATGAGGTATTTATTTCCACTATTTTATCTTCCAGTTCACTTATACATTCTTCTGCTTCAGTTATTCTGCTATTGATTTCTTTTAGAGAATTTTTAATTTCATTTATTGCACTTTTCATCATTGTTTGTTTGCTCTTTAGTTCTTCTAGGTCCTTGTTAAATGTTTCTTATATTTTCTCCATTCTACTTCCAAGGTTTTGGACCATCTTTACTATCATTACTCTGAATTCTTTTTCAGGTAGACTGCTTATTTCCTCTTCATTTGTTTGGTGTGGTGGGTTTTTACCTTGCTCCTCATCTGCTGTGTGTTTCTCTGTCTTTTCATTTTGCTTAATCTACTATGTTTGGTTCTCCTTTTCATAGGGTGCAGGTTTGTAGTTCCTATTGTTTTTGGTGTCTGCTGCCAGTTTCTAAGATTGGTTCATTGGGTTCTGTAGGTTTCCTGGTGGACAGGACTGGTGCCTTTGTTCTGGTGGATGAGGCTGGATCTTGTCTTTCTGGTGGGCAGGACCACGTCTGGTGATGTGTTTTGGTTTGTCTGTTACCTTATTATGATTTTAGGCAACCTCTCTGCTAATGGCTGAGTTTGTGTTCCTGTCTTCCTAGTTGTGTGATATAGGGTGCCCAGCACTGTAGCTTGCTGGTTGTTGGGTGGAGCTGGGTCTTAGCATTGAGATGGAGATATCTTGGAGAGCTTTTGCCGTTTGATATTATGTGGAGCCAGGAGGTCTCTGGTGGACCAGTATCCTGAACTCAACTCTCCCACCTCAGGGGCACAGGCCTGACACCCTGGCGGGGCACCAAGACCCTGTCAGCCCCACAGCTCAGAAGAGAGACAGAAAGAAAGAGAGAAAGAAAGAAAGGAAGAGAGTTATTAAAAAATAAAAAATATAAAAATATTAAAAATAAGAAAATGAAAAAGTAATAAAAAAAGGAAAGAAACAATGAAAGAAGAGAGAAACCAAACCAAAAAACAAATTCACCAATGATAACAAGCGCTAAAATCTATATTAAAAAAAATAAAAATAAAAGGACAGACAGAACCCTAGGACAAGTGGTAAAATCAAAGCTATACAAGCAAAATCACACAAAGAAACAAAGACATACACACTCATAAAAAGAGAAAGAGGAAGGCTTCCCTGGTGGCACAGTGGTTGAGAGTCCACCTGCCAATGCAGGGCCACGGGTTCGTACCCCAGTCCAGGAAGATCCCACATGCCATGGAGCGGCTGGGCCCATGAGCCATGGCCCCTGAGCCTGCGCCTCTGGAGCCTGTGCTCCGCAACGGGAGAGGCCACAACAGTGAGAGACCCGTGTACCACAAAAAATAAAAAAAAAAATGAGAAAGAGGAAAAATATGTATATATATCTAAAAAAAAAAGGAAGAGTGCAACCTAATCAACAAAAAAAAATCTACCAATAATAATAAAGTCTAGATACCACAAAAGATAAACCTAAAACCAGAAAAAATTTAGAGATGGAAAGAAAACCCCAAGTCTACAGTTGCTCCCAAACTCCACTGCCTCAATTTTGGGGTGACTCGTTGTCTATTCAGGTATTCCAGAGATGAAGGGTACATCACATTAACTGTGGAGATTTCATCCACTGCTCCTGAGGCTGCTGGGAGAGATTTCCCTTTCTCTTCTTTGTTCGAACAGCATCTGGTGTTCAGCTTTGGATTTGGCCCCGTCTCTGTGTGGAGGTCGCCTGAGGGCATCTGTTCTTCACTCAGAGAGGATGGGGTTAAAGGAACAGCTGATTAAGGGGCTCTGGCTCACTCAGGCTGGGGTGGGAAGGAGGGGTATGGACTGTGGGGCGAACCTGCGGTGTCAGAGGCTGGCGTGATGTTGCAAGAGCCTGAGGCATGCCATGTGTTCTCCCAAGGAAATTGTCCCTGGATCATGGGACCCTGGCAGTGGCAGGCTGCACAAGCTCCTGGGAGGGGAGGTGTGGATAGTGACCTGTGCTTGCACCCAGACTTCTTGGTGGCTGCAGCAGAAGCTTTAGCATTTCATATCCATCTCTGGGGTCTGCACTGATAGCTGTGGCTCGCACCCATCTCTGGAACTCATTTAGTCAGTGCTCTGAATCCCCTCTCCTCATGCACCCTGAAACAATGGTCTCTTCCTTCTTAGGCAGTTTCAGACTTCTTCCCGGAATCCGTCCCAGCTAGCTGTGGTGCACTAGCCCCCTTCAGGCTGTGTTCACACAGCCAACCCCAGTCCTCTCCCTGGGATCTGACCTCTGAAGCTGGAGCCTCAGCTCCCAGACCCCACCCGCCCCGGTGGGTGAGCAGACAAGTTTCTCAGGCTGGTGAGTGTTGGTCGGCACTGATCTTCTGTGCGGGAATCTCTCCATTTTGCCCTCTGCACCCCTATTGCTGTGCTCTCCTCTGTGGCTCCAAAGCTTCTCCCCCACCCCCAACTCTGCCCATGAAGGGGCTTCCTAGTGTGTGGAAAGTTTTCCTCCTTCACAGCTCCCTTCCAGAGGTGTAGGTCCCATCCCTATTCTTTTGTCTCTGTTTTTTCTTTTGCCCTACCCAGGTACATGGGGGTTTTTTGCGTTTTGGGAAGTCTGAAGTCTTCTGCCAGCATTCAGTAGGTGTTGCGTAGGAGTTGTTCCACATGTACATGTATTTTTGATGTATTCGTGTGGAGGAAGGTGGTCTCCACGTCTTACTCCTCTGCCATCTTGAAGGTCTCTCGGGAACAACTTTTTATTGAAGCAGTTGTGTATGTAAATCCAGCTTCATTTTTTCCCTATTTTTTGTAAGATAAAAAGAATAATGGTAACCCTCCAGGACTTTTTCGTTTTTAATGAAAGTATATTGACACTTTAGTTAGTCTCATCTGAAAATTTGTCAGTTTTATCCATTTGTTTTACTCATTTATTGTGTAAATCTTCAGTTGATATTTTGTTTTATCATTACCTAAAGGCAAACAAGTATTTATTTCAATATTTTTACTTTTCAGAATATTTTTCTCAGCATTTGGGCGAGTATGAGAATGTACTAACAGCACTTGAAGATTTAAATCTTTCCATCCTGAAGGCAATGGGAAAAACAAAAAAAGTAAGGAAATTTGATTATTATCTATAAAATCTCTTCAAAATATCTTTCTCTTGAAAATCATAACTAGTTCCTAATATATCATGGAAGTACAGATTTGTTTTAATCACTGATAATTTATTTTTTTGATATAAATGAGCTTTTTTATTCATTCACAATACAATTACAAAAAACTTACCAGATTCTAGATACTGTGCTTCATGCTAAGGATACAAAGAGCTGTTCAAATGGCTCTTATTCTGATGGGGAGATAAGTGTGTAAACAAGTGATTACAACATAGCACAACAGAGAGAATTACAAGATAGAATACCTTATTCGTGCTGCAGGAGATGACATCTAAGCAATTTGAATTAAAAGAAATAGTTATAGCTAGGCCAAGGAGAACCAGATACAAGTAACATCAGGTACAAATGCCCTCTTTCAGGAGGGACACAGGGCATTCTAGGAATTGAAGATGTCCAATAAGGCTAAAATACAGAAAATCCAAGAGTGGCAATGTGTGAGGTAAAACTGGTGTTGTAGGGAGGGGTCACATCTTTCACAATGTTGCTGGTAAACCTAAAGATTTAGACTTGTATCCTTAATGCAAATAAATTAGCCATTTTAAGCAGAGGTATGACAACTCATGTAGTCTTTTGAAAAGACTGTGTAAGAATTAGCTTGGGATTAGGGTGGAGAATGTGGAAGAACAGAATTAAGAAGATGAGTAGGAGGCTAGTTCACTAATCCAGCTGAGAGATGTTGGTAGTTTGGCAGTACTGGCAGAACAAATGGAGAAATGTAAGTGAATTGCACATATATTTGAGATCACGTCAATAGAATTTGGAGAAGGATTGAATATGCGGACTGGGAGGGAAGGAATTTTCAAGAATGAATCTTAGTTTTCAGTTTGTGTTCCTGGACAGTGGCACTATCTAGACAGAGAATGCTAAAAGAGGGCCAAGTTTAATGAGATAAGATCATAAGTTATATTTTAGACACATTGGGTCTAAACTACATTTGAGACATCTAAGGAAAGTCAAATAAACCATTGGATACATAGGTCTAGACCTGAGAAATGAAGTCTAGACTGGAGGTATACAATATGTGAACTGTTAGTGCTTAGGCAAGAACTTGAGTGATATGTCATCTGAAGAGAGACTATAAAGTAAAGAGAAGAGGGAACCTAACACTGAGCTTTAAGGAACTTCAGCTCTGATGGTGAATAGAGGGGAAAGAGCTAGCAAGCGTGTCTGAAATGGAATGGGAAGAAAGGTGGGAAGAAAGACAGGAGAGTATAGTGTCCAGAGTTGAAGAAGAGAGTTTCATGAAGTAGGAGGTGGACAATAGTGTTGACTTCTATGAAGAAGTCAAGAGAGGTGAGAATTAAGATTTCCACTATCAGTAAGTCAAAAAAGACATTTTAGCACATAGAGTGCATAACAAGAAATTTAAAAAATTAAAGAATATACAGAATTTCTGGATAAAGACACCACAGATTAACACATACAAGTAGTTCAGCTTGCTCTTGAAGCTCCATGAAAAAGACTGAAATTAGATATTTTAATGGGGAAATTTATAGCAGCAAAATTTGGAAACTGAAAAGCAAATGGACAACCAATAGTTGATAGAAGACCTGAGATATTTGACTGCTTGGCCTGGACTGAGCAAAAGGAGAAAACCACCAACTTGATTTGTAGAAAGGCTCAGGAATTGGTGGCACTAGTTGTCACTGGGAAACAAGGGGAATAGTAAGGCTAAAACAAGGTGACCTATTAGAAATCTGAGTAGGAAGCAGTTAGATTCCCCCGATCCCCTGTTCTTCTCTACCCAGCTAAGCAACTGTGTCTTTATCAATCCAGGTAGAAAACATACCCTTGTTCTCTGAAAAGGTAAAAGAGAGCCCTGAGGTGGCGTCAGTCATAGCTGAGGGATTAAATAAAAGTTTATATACTGCATGAAAAGACATCCAGCTATTTTCCGTAACTTAACTCCGAGTGTGGCAACCAGACATATATCCTCCTGGCAGAAAGGAAGAGGTTGTCTCTGAGAAGTCTAACCAATACAAGAGAAAAGACCTATGAATCCTCCAGTGATGGAACTTGGCCTGATCTCTCCTCCCATTGTGTAATCAGCTTGTTTGTACCCCATCCTTAAATATGCAGTCAGCCAAGTGCCATCAAGCTTCTTACAGGAAAGAAAGAGCCCAAAACAAACTGAAAAAGAAGAAGGAGGGAGGGAGAGACTAAGACAGCGTTCTATGCAGGAAGATGAAAACTTCAAGGTAATGTCCTCAACCTCTTCCAAGAGATAAGAGAAGATATAGCATCCATGAAGCAAGAATAGTATGACAAACAGTGGGCAACCAGAAAATAAGAAAGTGCTTTTGGAAATTTAAACAAGAGAGCAGAAATAAAGACTTAACAGAATTTTGGAAAATAAAGTTTAAAAAGTCTGCCAAAAAGTAAAGCAAAATAGTAGATGAAAAAATGGAATATCAGTCTAGGATCTCCTATATCCAAACAACAAATTTCAGAAAAAGAAAACAGGAAAAAGAAATCTAAATACATTTTCTCTTGACCTCTTCAGGAACATTTGGAAACTGTATAAAATGTTATCCCTTGGGACCTTCTCTCCAGAAATGGTAATTTTTAAAACCTCTGCTTGATATGGCTGGCTTCTCTTTGTTTAGATCTTATCTTAAATACAATGTTCTCATAAAGGTCTTCTCTGATCATCTTGTCTAAGAGAGGCTGTCTTTTTAGAGTAACTCATTTGTTCCTTGCTGGCAATTATCAGCATGAGTAACTATATATTTTTTTGTTTATTTGCTGTCTATAAGGAGGGAGAAAGGCAGTGTCTTTTTTGAATACCCAGAGTCTAGCAATTGAAATGAACCTGACAATTAAAATGAACTCAATAAAAAATTATTGATTGGCTAAATAATTGATGAAATAGATATTCATACAGCTCCAAAGGCTAAATAATTTTGTGCCTAAAAGAAAAATTGTTCCTAAGTTCATTTAGGAAGCTTTCAAATTTCTACTTAATCAAGGATAAGCTCTTTGATTAAAAAAAAAAAAGAAAGAAAATCAGAAATAGTCAAAAATAAAATTAGAAAGGTTACTTGCATGGTATCTCAAAATGAGTGAAACACAGGAGTTTTGACATTTTTCAAACCACTGTTAAACTGACATTTTCTCCATACTGTCTAGCACAAAGAACCCTTCTGACTGAGAAATCCAGTATTTCTCTTTTGAGAGTCCTTATATATTTTTACCCAGATGAAAAGTCCTGTCTCAGTAGGAAGGGCTGACTGTTCTAGGTTTTTAAGAAAAATAAAATGCAAGCCATTTGTGGTCTATCTTCACTGGCAATACATTTGTCTGCTGTGTGAGAGAATGGACAAAATGGGTTCCAGCTGCTTAACTTAAATTCCAGGAGGTAACTCAGGACAGATATAATCTGTTAACATTATTTTCCCTTCCTCCTCCTCCTCCTTTAACCCCAGCCCTTTGATAGATCCTTAAAGAGTTACCTGGATTATTTTACTTTGCTTATTTTTCTGGAACAAGCACCACAGGTCAAGTTTCAAATGGTCTTGAAAGCTTTGAAGGTAGCTAAAACCAGAACTTCCTGAATTTGAATTACACACACACACACACACACACACACACGCAAATTGGATTTGTCAATTTGTTTTTCTTCTTTCTATAATGGGGTGATAAGTAACTTATACCATCAGTATGTGATGTGCTTGTAATCTCAAAGCACATGTAGAATTCTGATGCTTAAGCTAAAATTTAAATGGGGTATCCTTAAGGCTTATTAGTAAGGCTTAAAAGGAGATTATCATAAGCTAAAATGAAGAATGGTGTTCTTAAAATAATTATTTAGGGTGTGATGGTCACGTTGCTGAATGAAGCTGCATCTATATAAAAAATGCATATATATACTATTTAGTTTTCTCCTAAAAGTTATTTTTCAAATAAGCACATCCTCCAATACATCAATGATTATAAGAAAAAATAGACTTGAGTCCTAGCATTGCTGAGCATCTGTCTCTCCCTTGCTTCTTATATCTGCCTTTGGGATCCAAGTTGTTTGTCTCCCTGGCATCTGTAGATGTCTTCATTTCAACCTTTCTATCTCTTCTCTATCCCTATTTCCTTATATTTAGCATATGGGCCTCCCAGGGCTCCGTAATTCTTTCACTAGTTAAAAATTATAATCATTTCATTTATGAGAAGTCTTATTATAAAGAAAAGAAGAAATAGCAATAGGTCTCAGAATTCCTATCTGGGTAAAACATCATTAATTACTATTTTTATATTGGATTTATCCTTATAAATTTCCCTTATTTCAGGCAAAGTATAGGTGCTGAAATACTACCATGTATGGAATAGTGAAACCCTCTTAAGCTCATGGAAGAAACACCCTCTTAGGCTTATAGAAGTCAGGCACTTTCATTCTTCATTATAGTTCCATTACAATCCTTTTAAGTATGCATTAAAAATAAAATGAAAAATATATTCTTAGACTTCAGAGCAACCATAGGAAAACATTTTCCAAAAAGCTTATTTGACATCCCATTTACTCTTTAAAATGATCTTTCGTGTAATGTGTTTAGGGATGGGAGACAGAGACTCAGGGCATGGAAAATAGGAGAGAAATGTCTTGAGGTTGCAAATTTGCCTCTATAGCAGAGAAGCCCTCTGTCAGGCCTAAGCCTTAGAATCTCTTTCAAACTTGGCCAGACTTTTGCCCAGCCTGACAAAGGGGAATCCCAGGTCCTTGGAAAGCCTGCTTCATTAAGTCATGGATGACAGAGTCTGCTAGGAGACCCAGGTCTCCTGAAGGAGTCTGAAGTATTTGCTGACTTATAAAGTGAGAATCCTGGGCAGAGGAACTTGCCATCTCTGTCTGGGGAAGGAGGGAGCAGAACTGAGATCACCTGACCCAGCTCATGTGAGTATGACTTTTGGGGTAATTTAAAGGTGAGATTACGGGTAGGGTACAGACC